GGGAGTGGGGAGGGGGAGGGTGTTAGTGTGGGGTGTAGGGGAAGGTTAGTAGGTGATGGGAGGGTTAGGTACTAGGTACTAGGTATATATACGTGTAAGGCAGGAAGTGGAGGAAGGGAGTGAGGTTATGTGGTCTCTTTTTGTATTGGTATGGGCCGGTGATTGATTTAGTGATTTGGTCATTTGGTGATAGAGGCGTTAGATTAGGCTGGTGGGTGGATATAGATAGAGGCACAGGCATTGGATGGTATATGTTTGAGATTGAGGAGTTAGAATGGAGATTTGTTTGTTTGTTTTACGGATATCCGGGGGTGGTTTCTCGCTTAGGCGATCGGTCGCTCGCTTACGAGGATTATTTTGGAAGTTATGCGAATCTTACTTTACTGTAGGAATATATCTACAAGCACGAACGTTTTGATTTATCTCTCTTTTGAAGTCTGTTGAGTGTCAATAATGGGACTGTGTATATAAAATTCCTTAGTTCTAAAGATTCCTAACTACAATATGAGTCTTTCTATTACTCATAAAACTCCCCCACATGCACATATTATCCCATGACACAACCACCCAAACTCCAACACCAAAATATCCACCCATTTACGAAAAAGATCACCTCCTCCGTTTCCCCCCACCTCCACCCCCAGCAGCATCCGGATCAGCCCTCCTCTTCTTCCCCTCCTTCCGCCAATACTCCTGCTTCTCCTTCTTCTCCCTCTCACCCCGCATCTCCTCGTTCTCGGCAACCTTCTTGCGATAAACCTTTCTCTTCTCCTCTTTCGCCGCACGTCTCTTAGCAACCTTCTCATTACGCACAGTCATGATCTTCTGCATGAGATCTCGAGCTTTCTTTTCTTCGCCACCTACGACGACGGCTCGCTTTTGCATGTACGTCTGTTTACTTTGCTTCTTGGTCTGTACGATTTGGGATTTGAATGGGAGTTCGGCGGCGAGTGCACGTGGGACTCGGAGAGGATTGAAGTGTCGCGTGGCGCGCTCGACAGGTTTGTAGAGGGAGTTCTTTTGGACTGGTGTTGGGATGTTTTGGTCTCGGCGGACTTCTCCAGTAAGACGCATTCCTTCCCAACCGATGAGATTCGTGACGGGATTGTAGAATCTATGGGGTTTGATGGGATACCATGCTCGAAGAAAGACAATGTCGCTCAACAAAATCTTGTCTTCAAACGTCGCTCGGAAGTGACCTTCTGGTTTGCTGAGTGCGCGTTTGATTTGACCTCGAACACCAGAAACGGTCTTAATAGAGGCGCCCTCAAACTTGGCAATTTCGAGCGATGTAGTAAACATGTCTCGAATGAAAGCAGTATTCTTGAAAATCTTATATGGGGCTCCAGTCAACTTGAGCTTCTTGACAATCTCCGTTGACTCATCAACATTCAAGACTGTTCCTGTAGCTGCAATTCGAAATCCAGGATTTTTAGACGAGAATGACTGATAGCAAGAAAATCCAGAGTTGGGAGCAATAAGAGGTCCGTAGAATGTACCGAAACAATGCATGTGCTCTGGCGTATACTTGAGCATACGATTTCGAGTTCGAGAGTCAGAAATACTGTACACTGGCATACTCTGGAATCGTCTCCAACCCATAGAAAAGATGAGAGGATCGTTCGTCTTCAGAATCTTCTTATGCCACCTGTGTCGCTTTATCCTGACTTGAACGAATCCGAATCTGTCTTCGGTTGCCGAGAGTCCTCCGACAATGAGTGGCATGCGTGGACTGAATTTGGTAACAAATTCCGAGGGCACCTTTTCAATAACAATTTTGGCGTACATCCCTGCCCTAAATCCTTCAACACTTACTCGCTGATTTTCGTCCAGTGCTTCAAATTCAGCTTTGTTAATGTTGAGTTGAGTCTGGATTTGTGCTTTTTGCGCATCATACCAATCATCTTCTCCAAATTCCTCCTCCTCTCCATCTTCTCGGCGTGCTTTGGCTTTGTCATTATTAAAGCCATCACGATCTTCCTCCTCAAAACGAAGTTTCAATTCTTCTTTTCTCCGAGCATTCTTTTCTCGCTCGGCTTCGATATCATCCGGTTTATGCTCTTCTCCGGTCTCCAAATCCTCGAATGCTCCATCTCCTTCATCATCCTCATCTTCTTCCTCGTCTTCGTCATCCTCACTGTCGTCGTCCTTGGAAGACTTACCTTTCAACAAGTCTGCCGAAGCAAATCGCTGTCGCAGCCTTTCAATATTATCCTCAATAGACCATTTCTCTTCCATAACTTCATAATCGAGCTTTAGAATCGCACGATCTTCATAGTGCTCTTCCTCCTTCTCGCGGCCAGATTTCTTGAAAAAAGTCTCATCGTCAGAATCCTCGATGTTCTCCTCCTCGATTTCTTCCACTTCGCCCTTCCATCTTTTCAACACTTCCGTAGGAGTAATAGCCTCGTCATACATGAGTTTAGCAAGATCAGCAGTACGATAGAATCGCTTTTGCTTGTGAAGTTTCAATGCAGTATCAAGCATATTTTCCTTCCATCTTACTCCCTCATCTCCTTCAGAATCATCATCTTCGGAATCATCTATCGAGTCAAGCTCGTCGCCTGATATAGAGCCAAGATCCGAGTCGCTGTCTGCAAAAGCAACATCTCCTTCGGCCTTGTCACTGGGTTTTCGGAATGCTTTTCCAAGTTTGTCTTCGGTCAACTCAGTTTCATCATCAGATTGTGGCTCATCGCCACTGACAAACCCTTCATCGTCAACTTCGTCGTCAGACCCATCCTCGCGTTCAACAAACCGGGCAGATCTGGGCTGTTTCCGACCGGTGTCCTCTTCTTCGTCGACAGCTTTAATAGCTTTACTGTCACTGAATAATCGCACTCCCTCGTCGGTCTCACCCAAGAGCTTTCTTTCGCCTTGCAGACTGACAATTAACTCCTCTCCTTGCCCTCGATCCTCATCGTCATCCTCGGCATCAAAATTAAATCCCTTCTCCCTCGTGATCCATATCGTGTCCCCGTCAATTTTCAAACCACTCTTATCAGACATTGGAGCATGCAATTTCTTTTCCTTCTCATCCAGTCTCTTTCGGCCAGTCTTTCCGGAAGCCTTCGCCATAACTTGGTCCATATATGGCGTCGGACATGGGTCTGGTAAAGCCTCCATAGAAGATATCGAATAATCACCCAATCCCGGTATATGAACCCTCTGACCCTGAGCCGCGAAATTTGTTCCTCGTAAATACCCAGACAGCACAATTGTTCGGTCGCATTTCGCGTCCTCTTCGACTTTTGTTGGATTGGTAACATCTCGGAAACTGTCTATCATGGTGTAAGGATGCGAATTTCTCCAAACCAAAGGTCGTGGGTTCTTCATAACGGAAATGAATCTCGAGAGGTTATGGATTTCGCGATCGGGGTATCGTCCATTTATGACGCCGGAGAGGTAAAAAAGATGCGCCCCCTGGTACAATTCGCTCCAGAATCTATTCTTCAGTCGCTTCTTTGCGTCCTTCAAGGTTTGTGGTTTGCGAAATAGGTCTAGATGGGTAAGAATTCCAAACACATTTCCCGGCATACCACTTGCAGCCAGTATATTCAAAAACTCCATCGTCTCCATCTCAAATCCAAAGTTACCGTCAATCATCAGCAATACAATATCCGCCACTTTGGACATGTCGACCATGGCTTCGAGTTCGTTCGGACATTCTACAAATGTTAAGCGTTGCTTCTTCGAGGTAACTACTGTAATCGGGCCCAGAGGTTCTGATAATGTTTCCTTCGCATATCTTTTTACCAGCGATTTCAATAAAGTTGTCTTCCCAACTCCGGGTGGACCAACGATGGTAACAAGGCGTGGTGGAGGCTCTTCCGGGATTCGATCGACTTGGGGAACATGGAAGCGCTTTTCTTTTATCTGCGCAAACAATTAGTTATCTGAATATGGAATTACATCTGACTGCGACTTGCATCATGCGATCGAGCGGCGGTTTTTGCTAATCGTCCTGGATTTGCGAAACTGAATGCCTTTGGATTCTTGTCTGCTTAATGTTAGCATGACATATATAAAACTGCGCAGTCAATGCCGACCTCCAGTATGTTTCTTCTTCTCTTTCGGCGCCCTATGGGGGCGATTGGCTTGATTCTCCATGATGAATTTGGCGAATGTTCAAGTCGAGTCGCATTGAAGACTGACCTCAACTTTTCCCCCAAAGTCGGGCGGAACTTTTTTTCCTCTGACAAGGATTCGTTATGGGGCTAGTCCCGTTTGAGTTACTATCAGAATTCCGAGCTTATCGATAAGAGAGGGGTCAAATCATGTGATGACCCCCATTTTCTGCTTTTTGGAGTTTGAATTCATCAGTATCTCAACAAATCTAGAGTTGGTGAATTCAAGTAAAAGCTACCATTCGCGTTCCACTGGTCATTCATTTCTCATGCAGTGAAAGGTTAATCAAGAATATCTTGAAATAACTTTATACGTGGTCAGGCAGCTCACTGCCCCCTCCCACAGCTTTTGATGACGTACCTCCTCGTAAGGCTGGCTTGCTGCGGGTAGAGTAGGGTGAGTGGAGGGGTTTGAGTTGTTGAGAGATGATAGGTTAGCTACCAAGGACAGACGTAGAGGGGTTCCTCATGACTTGGCAGCTTCTGGACATATAAAGCCTTCAGCCGCTGCTTGTTTGCTTCTAAAGAAACATCATCACTACAAATCCAACCTCTTCTCTTCCAAATTAACGAAATACCTCCTTCAATATGACTGATAAGCAAACCAAGGGACGTGGAGACGAGACTGACGATGAGGAGTTGCAAGATACCAAGAACAACAATCTTGTTAAGCATTTGGTAGGTTGACTCCTAACTTCTCGTTCTTTCAATTTCATGACGATGCCAGAAAGGGTGGGTAGTAGAAAGGGGAATATCAATACTAACAACGCCAATAGATCTGCTGTCACACTCCTGAGGATGTTGAGCCGTAAGTTGATACTACCAACCTAAAGGTAACCCATTTAAGGAATCCAACTGACCAACTCCTAGTGCCATCAAGTTTGCTCAAGAGCAAGGTGGAAAATACCCCAAGAGACGTCCTATCATAACTGGGTTCACGTAAGTCACCAAATCGACTCGAGACTTTACCAGGCAGAGTACTAATATCTCCAAGCATCAAATTCCCCAAGGACAGCGTCAGCACTCTTTCTGACAGCAAGCACGTCTCGTCGGCCGAGGTTGATGGGGTCGTCTCAACACAATCGACCATCTACGGGTAGAGGCATGGCCTTGTTGGGATATATGGGTACAGGTACAACAGGCGCGGGGTTCGGGTCCTTGGGTGGGATAAATTCTTTGGATCGAATCAGGTCACGACTCATGAATAATTGAATAAAGAATCATACTTCGTAATTAATTTGCCGTGGTTGCAGTGAATATACACGTTGAGCTGGCAATGCGATGTTGGTGTTTGTAAATGTTGAAACGAATCTTAGTCGGCCTCTGACCACGGAGTCTGGCGATTGGATCTTCAAAACAAGGCCTTGTTCTTCCACTGCAGCCTTCTACCCCACAACCCCAATCCAATGCCAATGCCATCACAATGACCTCGATATGGACGCCTGCGAAGCATTGTCTCTGCAGAAAGAACCCTCATGGGGCAACTCGATTGTTGACAACATCAACATCTTCATACCTCGCACGACATCCCTCTCCATCAGCTCACCGCTGGTCACATCCACCCAGCTCGACGGTGATAGCTGACGACGATGTCGCAAGCCTGGCCAACAAGCCATTGCATAACTTGAGTCTCGCAGATTTGGTCAAGTCAGTGCCATTGAAGGTCTCTCCTCTCTCTGCAACTTCTAATATGATCTAGACACGGACGGCCACCCCTCCATACTCAAGCCCTCTTCTCCTCGGCCAATTTCACCCTCTCTCTTCTCCCCATTCGACTCGCCCATCGCATACAAGCTCTACGAAATCTCCCTTTCATCGTAGTCTCAAATCCAAACATCTCGAAAATCTACAACAACTACCTCCACTCCCTTTCGACCTTACTCCCATACAAAAGCAAAACCATCTCAAATCTCGAGGACGAAATTCGATTTACAGAAGTCCTGGCAGATCTGGTTGAAACTCACGCCCATACCATACCAACACTAGCAAGAGGATTTCTAGAATGCCGCCGATATGTCAACCCGACCGAAGTAACACGCTTCTTGGACGAACATTTGCGGGCAAGAATAGGGACGAGATTAATAGCTGAGCAACACATTGCACTGCACATGTCATCCCAACCCCACCAAAATGACCATTCAGACCACCAAACTCCTGATCCTTCATCATCCTATATCGGTGTTATAGACACTGCCCTCGAACCAGCATCAATCATCAACTCTTGCGGGAACTTCGTTTCAGAAATCTGTGAGCTGAAATATGGAGTACGACCAACTTGGATTATAGACGGAGAACCAAATACCACATTCGCATACGTACCCGTTCATCTCGAATACATAATTACCGAGTTACTTAAAAATGCATTCCGAGCTACTGTTGAATCGGGAAGAACACAAGAGCCTGTTATTATTACAATCGCAGCTGAGCCAGAAAGCCCCCGAGGAGGACTAGATCATACTCGCCAACTCGATTCCTCCTCCCCTGGAGACTCTCTGGGCAATCCCGCAATCAAGCCATTTGATGATCCCGCTCCAGGAGTAACAATCCGTATCCGTGACCGTGGCGGTGGAATAAGTCCAGACGTCTTACCCAACATCTGGTCCTATTCCTTCACCACTTTTAACGATGCAGATGATTTCCCCGGCCAAACACCCGGAAGCGGGAACATGGATGCTCTGAACGCACTCTCAGGCTCAGGAGGAGGTAGTTCAATTGCAGGCTTGGGATATGGATTACCATTAGGTCGGGCTTACGCAGAGTATTTTGGTGGAGGAATCGCGGTGCAGAGTTTGTACGGATGGGGCTCGGATGTGTATTTGAGGTTGAAGGGATTGGGGAGGCCGAAACATTGATTGATTGACTGATAGATACCCTTGACACTTTTTTCGCGAGGGAGTTTTAGGGGTTTTTGATCCGTGGGGAAATGATTGGATTTGGATGGAGTTGGAAGGTATAGGTAGATGGCGTGTTTGTATACAGTACTAAAACGTCGCTCACGCATAAAATAAGAGGAATTCATATTACCCAACATTTCTCTCTACCGGAATAAGCGATACCTTCCAAATTGGTTTGCTATGTTATGTATTTCACCCATCGCTCTCGCGTCAACTACCTCTATTATACCTTAGTAAATTTGAGAAGGGGGTTTTTAGTAAGGATTACAGGGGGAAGGGGAGAGGGGATATTTAGTTTGTATAGAATATAGAATAAGAGAGAAGGTTTTTTGTTTAGAAGGGAATAGGGGAAGGGTGAAAGGAGGCGAAGAGAAGTACTTATATTTTGGTTCTTTTTCAAGGTTCTTTTTTATTCCTGTATTAGAGTGTAAAGTATGAATTTTATATATTTTTTGTTATTCTAGGGGTCTAGGTACTTGTATCTTTGAGATTTGATTTATATATAAGTTAGTTTAGGAGTTTAGGATATAAGTAGAAAGGAATGTATTGCTGCTGTTTAGTTATAGGTGGTTGTAAGAGTTTTCTATTGTTATTGTTGGTTTGTTTTATTTGCTGATTTAGGATCTCTCTAGTCGAACAGCGTTCGGCACTTGGAATACGATTCCAAGGATTCCAAGATTCCATTCCAAGGTAGAATATTCTAAAGGCTCTCTAATTTAGAATAGAATATTCCAAAGGATATATATATTACTATTCAACTAATAAGAGAGCTCTATCTGTCAGGAGTGAGAACTGAAATTATGATTTCTACCTACGCCTAATATAATTAATTATCGTCATCTCCTACATATGACTCCAAAGCTCGAATCTCCTCTTCTGCCAATGCTTGTAATATATCCTTAAATAAAATACCCTAATTATAAAGACAAATAATCCACTTAACTCTCTCCCTACCAAGTTTGCAACGATCCTTTGTAATAGTTCGTCCACCATTGGAGAATTTCTAAGGTATAGTACGTATCCCTTACTTTAGAATACCTTAGGAACTGGTAGGTAGACTGTCCTTAGGTTTAGGAAGTGGGTTATATATATTTTGATTGGCGAGAGTAGCGAGAGTAGGTACTATGTCTGTACTTATTTAGAAGGTTCTATCTACCGGTAGGAGGAGTCTAGAACATAACTTGGAAGGTATATATATAAGTTATTAGAAATAAGTATTTTATAGACGTCCTTCGGGATACCATTAGTATGGTAGAATCAAAATCACATTTCACAATTATCTCCTTCATGGAGAGGTCGCGAGTAGTAGTGTAGACTTAGAAGCATGGGGTTGGTTATATATACGATTTGTTAAATTCCAGACGTCCTTTAGGACACTTTGGTTATTATTATTATTATTATTATTATTCCTTTTAACGTGCTGTGTGAGTCTGAGACTATAGTAGCACGGCTGGGGGTTTCCCTCCAACAGATGAGTAAAGCTGTACTAAATACATGTTTAAGAAGGGGGTTATGGTCATTACAGTTCTTGGGTTGTTGGAAGCAGCTAGGCTTCTGGTTATGACAAAAGAAAAGTTGTTATGTTGTAGTACGCCCCCTCGTTTCACGCCCTGTACGCTACACTTCCTCGTTCTCGTCTTCCTCGTCCTCGTCTTCCTCGTCCTCATCTTCGTTCTCATCCTCAGTTGCGCGTTGTGTGTGCCATATTCTAGTGGCGATTTTGGTGGTTCGAATAAAGTCAAGTGTGGCCTCGACTCCTTTGGCGGTGTGAAGGAGGGATTTCATGGTGAACTCTCGAATATGATGCTTGAGGAGGTTGCGCTTTAGTACTTTCCTAGCATCCCCAGTTTCTGGACAGCTAAGAAGGAGGTGAGTGGGAGTCTCTTGTCTTCCACATCTACAGCGGTTGTTGGTAGTGTGGCCGAGCTTGTGTAGGTATGATTTGAAGTATCCATGGCCTAGCTTAAGCTGATAAAAGGCGCTGGCTATCTCTCTTTTTGTTCCTTGGGGGACGCAAGGTTTCGACAGAATCTTCCATGGGAATTCCCTTCGATACGAGTGTTGGTTAGTTGATGGTTCTGTGTGCCGGGGGGGTGTAGTAAGCTTTTGACGCCATTCTTTGTTCTGGGTCTGCCTGATCTTGACTCCTAGCATAGCAAAGCTAGTGAGTTGAGTGGATGGTTGGATTGTGGTGGCGGCTTTTGCAAGCTTGTCTGCTTTCTCATTTCCTGGAATGTCGGTGTGACCTGGTACCCAGTGAATCGTGGTAGTAGCTCCCTTGCTAACTGCCTTCCGGGCAGCTGTGATAGCTCTGATTTGGCACTCTTGCCCTGGGTTATCTGATGTGGTTTTTAGCCTCCGTAAACCTGCCTGGTTGTCGGAGTAGATGTGGAAATGGATCCCTGGTCTAGCGTGCTTGGCAGCGTATTCAACTGCTAGCGTGGCCCCTTCAACTTCACCGTTGTAGACGAGCTTGTTTGGTCCAATGTTGACTTTCTTTTCGTAGTGGATTCTGTTTGATTGAGGTGAGATTACAGACAAACCTACCCCAATTCCTTGGCTATTTTCTGTTGTTGTAGAGGATGCATCTGTGTAGATGAAAATGCTGTTATCTGAGTTGTTTTGGAGTAGACGAAGGTGAAGTTTAGTTTCCTCTTCTTTTGAAAGTTTGCTAATGTGAACCTTGTAAGGAGTTTCTCTTTCCCATGGAGGGAAGTGGAAGTGGTGTATTTGCTCAAGGTCTTCAAGGTTGTATAAGTTGCTAATAGAGCGGTGGATTCGCTGTAGTTGAGGAGTTGCCGGCTTCTTTTTCCTTGGAGTTGCTTGAGTATTGAGGAGCTTGTCGATAGCGTGGTTGACTGGGTGTGATGGTGAGAGTTTGAGTAGACGGAAAGCATACATCCTCAAGGAGGAGGAGAGGCGAACTTCAGGAGGTGGGAGGGCGCTTTCTACTTCCATTGGGAGGATAGGAGTGGTTTTGAAAACCCCTAATATCTTTCTAATTGCAAGGTTTTGTCAGGGTGTATGATTAGATTGTCTGCGAGGAGAGAAGAGTTCTCCAAGCAGAAGTGCTACTTATCTATCTACAGTGCCTTGTTT